GACCAAAAATTGTATGTTCTCCCTCATATGCGGACATTAGATCAAGGGCAAACACAACAATGGGATTGGACTTTGAGCACATGATAAAAGCGAGAGCACACAAGGGAGGGGTGAGGATAGGTAAGACACCTAAAATATTAGCTAGTATTTGTTGCCCTCAACGCAGAGAAACTAAAGCAGATACCTTAAAAGCAACTGAGGCCAATAGAAGGGGACCAGGAACTAGAGAAAAGGTTAGATCAAGAAGAATTAACATAGAAGGTAACACACACGCACAGGAAATCAATGTGAGTCAACACCTTGTATAGCTATCCTTATCTCAACCAGCAAAAACCCTTGTTCCTTCCTATTATTGCTTATACTCTCTCTACAACAAAATTAGAGATAAGGGCAAAATAGTTTCTGCTGGGTATTGAGGGGGTGGGGGGAGAGGGAGGAGGCGGGGTGGGTGGTAAGGGAGGGGGTGGGGGCAGGGAGGGAGAAATGACCCAAGCATTGTATGCACATATGAATAATAAAAAAATAAATTTTAAAAAGATAAAAAAAAAGGCATTTGCTCAAGCCACACAGTCAGTATCAGGAAAGTAGGGCAGAGCCTGTGACTGTCCTTGCTGACTTATCGGCCTGCAACTTCTGGTGTGTCCCACCCGAATGACCTCAGCCTGGGCAGGTGAGGCTGCAGGCTGAGTTCAGGTGGAAGGAAACCACTGTATTAAAGAGGTAGATAGGCCCCCACTGAGAAGCTGTGTGAAGGCATTCTGCACTGTGTGGAAGGTCACTGGAGCACATCAAGGGGCCTCCTTCCCTGGGATTCTGACATCAGGCACATACTTTCTTGGTCTGGGCTCATCTCTGTCCAGGTCAGTAAGCACACCTAGGAGTGGCCATTATAATGATGTCTGGGCGTCACCTAGGGGACTTGCATTCAGATGATTTGTGTTTGGTCCTAGGTTGTGATTTTCTGTCTGTGGGCCTTGGGGCAAATTGTGTGTTTATGTGGTTATGATGAATAGAAGCCAGCTGTTAAGCAAAGACCTTGGGGAGTGGAATCAAAGTTGCTGTTTGAGTGATAAGTGTCACCTTCTCAGAGGGATTGACCTTGACTCTCACCAACACCACCAACACCCCCCTTACCTGCCCCACTAAATTGTTCTAATTTCTTGATCACACCTCTTAATTATGGTTTGCCTCTCTACTAGCCTAAACCTTCCTCAAGGGTGAGGATCTTTGAAGATTTTGTTCACTGGTATCTTTCAAGCCCCTAGAACAGTACCTAGCACAGAGTGGACACTCTGTGGATTGATGGATGGATGGATGGATGGAAATGGATAGATGGACAGATGGATGGATGAGTGGGTGTATGGGTTGATGAATATAGGTGGCTAGATAGGTGGGTAGGTGGATCAATGGATGGGTGGGTGAATGAGTGGGTGAGTAGGTAGGTGGATTGATAGATGGATGGGTGGATGAACAGGTTGGTGGATGAGTATATGTTTGATGGATGGGTGGGATGGATGGGTGGATGGATGAATGGGTTGATGGATGAATGGGTTGCTAGATGGGTGGCTAAGTGGTTGGATGGATGGATGGGTTGGTATATGGGTAGATGGATGGGTGGATGGATGGGTGAGTAGGTAGATGGATGGATAGATGGATGGGCGGGTTGATGGATGAGTATATGAGTTGATGGATGAGTGGGATGGATGGGTGGATTTATGGGTTGATGACTGGGTGGCTAGATGGGTGGTTAGGTGGATGGATGGATGGATGGATGAATGGATGGATGGTCTTCTTGAGCCTCAGATGGATGGTCTTCTTGAGACTCAGTTTCCTCATCAGTAACGTGGAATGTTCTCACCACAAAGGACTGGTCGGTCTGTAGGCTGATCAGTGCTCTTGCATTGCAGGCTTTGATAAGCATCTAGGAAGTGTTGGTTACATCATAGTCAAACCCATTGATTCATCTGCTCAGCCATTCATGAGGTCAGACAGTACAAAAGCATGCAGCCTGGGAAGGCATCTAGAAGGAGTTGGCTTTTCCTGGAAGGCTGAGTAAGTCTATGAAAGGAAGAAGTGGGAGTGGAGGGCACAGGAAAAGCACCCAAGGAGATTGGGATGGCGTGAGGTAGCATCATGGACTCCTGTGAAGAAGTAGGCAGGTGACACACCAGCAGACAGGTCAGTCATGCCCAGCTCATGCCTTCTCTCCCAGAAGACAGAAGATTGGGAGGCACTGGCTGTGAGTGGAAAGGGGTGGCCGCTGTGGTAGTCTCTTCTCAGCCACAAATGCACTGGCTGGGCACGTGGATGCAAGGACGCCCAGTCTGCTGCTAGAGGGTCATTTACATACATGAGTTTGCCAGTAGTCCCCTGTGGCCCCTCCAGCCCCACTGCCCACTTTTTCCTGCCTTATTTTGTTGCTGGCAGCATGAATCGCATTTCAATTCCTCATCCAAGCTACCCTCCCACCTCAGGGCCTTTGCACATGCTGTTACTGAGGGAATCTTCAACCCCAACTTCTTTTTTTTTTTTCAAAATGTAATTCATTTTTGTAGTAAAGGATGAAAAAAATGGTTGTGAGAGTAGAAAATCACATCGAAAAATATTTAAGAGACGCGATAGTCATTTTAAAAACAGAATTAGTTGAAATGAAGATGAATACTTCTTACTCTCAATGTCTGTTTGAAAGATAAAATCAGTGTCTTTTATACTGATTGAACTGCAAAAAATGCACCTGTATAGAGTAGTAGTTAATAGCTACAAATTAAAAACAGGTGAGATTTCAGCATTTGATGCTGTCCCCAAATGTCATGTACCTGGGGAGAACTTCCTGAGGTCCCCAGACAGGATCAGACCCTCCTGTCACATTCTCGGTTACTCTTCACCATGCTCACTGGTGCTCACAGTCATGAATTTGTAATTGTGGTTACAATTGAGTAACTGCACGCTTAGATTTCTTTAATGTGCTCTACCTCTCATAGGATATTTAAATCCACGAAGCCAAGAGTCAGGTCTGTTTGAAACCAGCACGGAGAGTGCAGCTCTGTAAGTCTTGTTTAAGGGGGAATTGATTGCAGGCCACGTGGGAGTGGAGGGGACGTGGGACCAGCAGTCAGTCACCACTGCACATGGATGTGAGTACTCTCTTGGAGGGCTGTTTGGAAGATGCTGGGAAGGTGGAGAAAAGTCCATGAAGGGGTCAGAAGGATGTCATAGGGTGAGTAGTGCTCCTTAGGCAGGAGGAGGGAAGTCCCAGGAGGTTAGAGGCAAATGTCTGCCATGGGGCTTTGTAGAGAGCTGCTGGTAGGGTAGTAGAGATGTCACAGCAGCTCTCACCATGAGCCCCTGTGGCAGACACAGCTTCAGTGCCATCCCATGTGATTCTCGGCTGTCAGCACTGGAAGGCAGCCATCATTACTTCCTTTCAGGAAATAAAGAAGCCTTACCTGGCCATGTCACATCCAGTGCCATGAGGGGCACAACTGGGATGACCACTGGTGGTTTCTGAATCTATCTGGTGTTCTCCTACACCCACCCTTAGGCCAGGCAGGGGAAGAGGTGCTGTAGCAAAGTCTTCATTCCTATGCCCATGCCGTGCTCCTGGTGAGGGGGTCAGACCACACTCGCCCTCTCACAAGGAGCCACTTACCTGGAACTCTCCAGTGCCAGCATTTACCACTTCCAACCCAACCTAGCTCCTCCCCAGGCTGCCTTCTCCACCAGGCAGTGGGCTGGGGCTCTAGGGCTCTGTGGAGCCCAGGGTATGGGATAAGGCACCTGTTGGGTCCACACATGCTGAGGTGACAGTGGAGAGCAGCTGAGCCTGGATCAGGAATGGGACCTTCCCTTCCCACCCCTAACCAAAGACAGGCACTGTTGCCTGAGGCTACCCTGCCACCATAAGGAAACCATCTCACTTCTCTGAGCCTCAGTTTCCACATCTGTCATATGGATGTCCATCTGGCTGCCTGCAGATGGGTTGTGACCAGAACACAAACGCACAGTAAAGTGCAGATTTCTAGACACACCCAAGAAATGACAAGTGCAACTGGCTCAGGCTTGTTAGCGCTATACCAGGAAGGATGCCCCCTCCCAAGACACCATAAGCATTCACAACTCTGCTAAGGTGAAGGAAAGGCTTTCTGAAAGGAGCTGGGCCCATACCACTGACCTAAGTGGCTCTGTGAGCCCTTGGTGCCTCCTGGTGGTCACTCATAGGCCCTGCAGGCTGGTTTTTTCAGGGTGGGGACTAATGATTCAAATATAGGACCTACCTTTGAGGACGAGTCTGGGGAGCCCTAGAATCTTCTCTTGTGCCCTTTCCTGTGAGTTCCAGCTGCTACTAGAGGTGGCCTCCTGCAGCCAAAGGAGCTGGACTCACTGCACTTGTTTTGTGTCCACCTGGAGGTCTGGCTAGGCCAAGCACCCACAGTGGACACTGGAAAGATGACCACATGGCACAAATGCCAAAGACCCAAGGCCTGGGACAAAGGTGAATGACATTTATAAGGCAATGACATTGACTTCCTCAGAGCCCCATAAGGATGAGTGATCCTCATCTCAGAATAGTGACACAGAGGCTCAGAGACATAAGTGGATTCCCAAACACACTGCATTCTAGAATATGAACCCAGGCCTCTCTCGCTAAAACCCCAGGCGCTTGCTGTGTCTCATGCCTTCCTGAAATTATCCACCCACAGCCAGCAGACTTGGCAGAGTGAAGGAGGTTTGTTTATTAAATCACAAAAGCCCTCTTGCCTGCTGGGGCTGCGGACACAGCCAAGTGGTGGAGGATAGCATCCAATCCAGAAATGCCAAAGGACAGGGAGGAGGCTACACGAGGCCATGGATCACAGAAACCCCAAGAGTCTGTGGCACGGCTCATTCTGCAGCCTTAGGAGATAGTGATGAGGCGGGATTCGTTCAGAATGTGCTCGGCCTCATCCCAAGCAAGATAAAACATTATCAGTCCCTAGTCATGATTGAGCAAGAATTCTCCTTTATTTTCCACTAGGGTCAATAATCTTTGCCAGGAAGATTATGGAGGGCGTAACTTTCTCGTACAACATCATCACAAAAGATCTGTTTATCTTGAGGTCTTCAGGTGTCTCCATGGGCAGCGTCTGTGCTCCGGAGCCTGCCACCCCTTCTGTACCCTTCTCATCCATTTTCAGCTCAGCCTTGTGCACCGCCTGTGGGAACCAAGGCCAAGGTCAATGCCTGCCAAACCACTCAGAATCAAGAGGCCCAGAGAGAGAGACAACTTGGTCAAAGTTGTCCAGCACAGCTATAACCTGGCTGGTGCCAGCCATCTCAGGGCTCTCAGCTCTTGTGCTGTCATTGCTGGACAATGTTCAAGAAGCAGACACAGTGTGAAGAAGATGGTGCCAGGGATAATCAGTGACAAAAGGAGAGAGACCAGGGTTTGCTCTCCTTCCCAGGAATTTCAGGGACTTTGCAACCATAATGGGACAGAATGGGCTTGTTGAATCTTAGCTCAACCTGGTGGGTGGTGAAAAGGGAGCCAGACTCCAGAGTAGCTATTAGAAATGGTCAGACCCAGATCCACCCAGGTGATGTCAATATCTATGTGACCAGTGCTGGAAAATGCATGGGGTCTGTGAGACACAGGCCCATTTCATTCTAGTCTTTTCACCTGCAGAAACCAGAACAGTATCCTGGCAATCACAATAGCTAGGACACTTAAACAGAGAAAAGAAACAAGCCACTGAACTCAGGAAAGACCTGGGAGAAAGGGTGAGCTGGTGTTGAACTTTTGAGGGAAATCTTGAAACAGAGGGAGGACAAAACCAAACTGGAAAGTTCTATTAACGGTTTCTTCCTCAAGCAAATTGGGAAAGCTGGAACTGTATCTTCTGATTGACAAGAAGTGGCTCAGCTCAGCAGCCCATCCCCCTCTCAGACTGAACGGAACTTTCCCCTTCACTCCACCAGCCCATCCTCATCCATTCCCACTGTCCCACCTTCTGCCTTATGAAGCCTGCTCCTGAAATCCTCTCCCCTTCCGGTGCCATTTTAACCCAAAAGTAGGTTTGCTAGATAATGTACATTCCGCTAAATTTTAATTCAAGATATGCAATGAATATGTTTGAATATGAATATGTCCCAACACTATTTGGGACATACTTAGTCTAAAATCATTATTCATTATTTATCTGAAATTCAACTTGAACTGAGTATCTTGTATCTGCTAAACCTGATGACCCTGGCTATAGGGTCCTCTCTTCTTGTCCCAAACCCATTGAAGAGACCACAGGGCCTTTGTTTGCCCGTCTCGTCATCGTGCAGAACCCCCTTACCGCATCCTCCTCAGAAGTCTAGGAGGCCTTTGAGAGAAAGTCTGGATCAGAACCAGGCCAGTTCTGGGCCTGAAAATGTTTCAGACTTCCGTCCATGTCTGTTGCATTGAATCAACTTCCAAAAGAGATGATTCCAGGTTTAAAGGAAACAGGAGCTTGGGGAGGATTTATGGTTTGCCCAGGATCACATGGCTGGCCAGGAGCAGAGCTGGGCCCCAGCCTGACCCGCCTGGCAGGTAGAGTCCTTGCTGGTTCAGTTGCTGTGACAGTGGCCCTGGCTGGGAAGGGGTGGACAGACTTACCTCGCCCACCCTTAGACTGCGGTGAGGCGAGATCCTGGTGAGGTCTCCATTCTCCTCAAATATTTTGCCAATGCCCAGTTGGGTGAGAGTCTTCTTCAGGTTGTAGGTACCAGAGATGTGGAGCTTGGGCACGGACACATCTACCACCCTGGAGAGTGGAAAGGGACAAGGGTGAGCAGATGGGTCCTGCCATTGTTCAGGGAAGGCCACAGGAAAGACGGTGAATGAGACATTTGTCCTCCCAACACCAAAGGCACTGAATGAAGAGGAGCCCTTCACCCTGGGGCTCCAGATTCAGTACCCCCTGTACTCTCTGAATATGTCCCTGCTTCCTTTTCGAACCTGCCCCAGAGAGCTCACCCACACGAAAACTTCTCCAGTCCCCTTCTGCCATGCTCAGGGCCGTCTCCCTCAGGCTGCACTGGGTCCTGAGCCAGTCCTTACCTAGCAGGTCTGATACTATAGTCAGCAAGGCCCAGAGACCTGGAGCCCAGCAGAACTGGGGTCATGGCCATTCTGCCTCCAGGACCCCCCATGACTGGGCAAAGGATCTTAGCTTTCTGGACCATGTGTGGGAATCATTGTGACCAAACACCTGGGTCCCCTTCTCTACCTTTACTCCATGTTCATAACCTTGAACTGTCTCATGACTTGAAATAACCATCATTGAAGTGATCACCAACTCCCCAAATTACCTTTTCACTCATTCATTCATTCATTCATTCATTCATTTAACAAACAGTTATTAAGAGCTTCCTGTATACCAGGTGCTATCTTAGGTACTAGAGATGAATCCATCAACAGGAGGGGCAAGACCGCCTGCCATTGACCTATGTTCCAGCAGGAAAGACAGACAGTGGAATTAACACTGCAAAAATCAGTTTGCACATATGCAAACACAGGTGGGCGGGAGTAGTACTATGGACAAGAAGAAAATACAGATAAACTTATGGGAATCAGCAATGCTGGGAGTCTTGTACGAGGTTAAAGAGGTTTACCTTGCTGGAGGTAAGGGGGGGAGACAAATTGGGCTTTCCTTCCAGAATAAGATGGGGAGCCATGGTAGGGCTTACACCAGGGCAGTGACACGACCTCATTTAGGGTTTAAGAATACACTCCCGGGGCTGGGGGAGAAGGGGCAGGCATTGTTGTCTGGATGCTCGTGTGGAGGTACAGGGATAGTGGAAGAGGCCTGACTCTAAATATGACATACAGTAGGGTTAACGGGGTTTCCTGACGCACTACAGAAGGAGTTTGAGAGAAGAGCTCAATGGAGGATGATGCCATGATGGTTAGCCTGAGCAGATGAAGGACGGCCTGGCCAGGATCCAGGAGACTCCATAGAGATCAGGGTATCCATTCAGACCCCAGGAGACTAAGATCCCATTAGACATCCAGGGAAAATCCTGGGTATATAGAGACAGGACTCTGGAGTTAGGGGGAGGCACCTGGGGATGGGGTCAGAAATGCAGGTGTCATGATGGTGATATGGATAAATCCAGATAGCAAAGAGCCCAAAGACTCTTTGGGTGTGGCTGAAGTGATAGAGTGCCTGCCTAGCAAGTGTGAAACCCTGAGTTTAAATCTCAGTACCATCAAAAAAATCCCAAAACAAACAAACAATGAGGATCGAGCCTTGTGGCACTCAGCTCTGAGACAAGGCAGGAAGAGGGGGACCAGCAAAAGAGACCCAGAGTGAGAGAGGCAGAAGAAGTGGTGCCAAGCGAAAAATGCCCTGGAAGGAGGTGGGGATTGCCCACACTGGCCCCTGGATCTGCAACATGGGCACCCTTGGCAACCCGGGTGATCAAGTTGTCCTTGAAGAGGTGAGCACAATGCTTGGCCAGAGTAGGTTTGAGAATGAGGAAATAGGAGATGGGTGCATTTACCTGCAAGTGGGGATCAAAAAATGGAGCAAAGGCTGGGAGAATGTAGAGGTGAAGAGAAGGCTTTAGGCCCAGAAATACAATGACATTTGGGGTTCCCTGCAGGCCAGCACAGTGCAGCAGGTGCATGCACAGATGGCAGACATCTGCCTGTGTTTTCTACAGAGTAGGTTCTTCTGTGTGCTGTGTGTTATCTTGGGTCCTGGTGAGGTTGAGTGATGGGTGAGATTCTAGGTTCTTCATATCTAATGGAAATGTCTCCAGACAGAATAAAAATGCTGCCCAAGGTAGAAGGCAAGGAGAGCGCCTCTGTGTTCCTGAGCCGTGAGAGGACATGAGCCCTGCATGCAAATGTGGTGACCAGCTTTAGTTCCTTCCAGTCTAGAAGGCAGGACATAAGGGTGCTGCTGGAAGCTGGTGGTACTTCCAACCTACAGGAAACAGTGAGGAGGGCCTATGGGCTTGGAGTGCACCCTTGAAAGTGATTAACAGGAAAATAGTTATTTTAAAGCCTGGTTAGCAGTTTTTTGCCTTCTAAAGGTGTCACATTCATTTTCTCCTGGAAAAACTAACCTTTTGCTCTGGGAATCAGAGAAGCAGGCCTGAATTACCTGAAGATGAAGCAAGTGTCTGCCTTCCTCTCCAGGTCAGACTAAATCCAGGTATGTCCTATGCATGCATAGATCAGGAAATACCTTTTAGATGTGTGTCTGTTGAGGTGGTTACTTCTCTTGGGGGAAAAGGGTGTGTTTTTTGTATTCATACTCTCCTAGGCCTTCCAGGCTGGAGGGGTGTGCAGAAAGAACACAACAGAATTCCACACCCCCTATCTCAATCCCATAAAGAAAGGGGTAGAGGTTTGGAGTGGACTCCCTGCTGGTAGATCAAAGCAACTGGACAACTTGTCTGGCAGACCTAATGATTGAGAAGATGGGAACACTGGCCCAACATGTTCTGATAAAATGCAATTTCCCCCTTGGAAACCATGGACAAGTCCACTACCTTGCAGGAAGATGTGGAGTCCCTGTCAAGTAGGGGGACAATACCACTATTGGCCCTTCCAGAGCCTGGAGGGTCTAGGAAGGCTGCATGTGTCTGTGCTAAGAGGATCCACCCTATCCATTGTCTTCCTACAGGGAGGTCTGGCCTCCAGAAGAGGTCAGGAGCCTTCTCAGTGGGGCAGGGGCAGACCTGGTGCTCTTTGGGGGAAGGAAGTCTGGAAAAGACTTTGAGAGCAGCTTGCATTTAGACTTCATGAGAAGCCACTTCTGTGCAACCTAAATTATGCAAAGGCCCCGGTGAGGAGCCTCTGTTCTGTTATCCCCAAACCTCCAGTGAGGCTGATGCTGCCTGTAGGAAACTCGAAGGATCTATTCCACACTTGGGCAGAGGTACAAAGGGAGAAGGTTGAGGCCATCCTGAAGCCAGAGAGAGGGTGGAAGGGCCCCAGAGGCATCTGTGTGTAGTTAGTGGTGGCTTTGATGGTGGTCACAGCACAGGACTGCAGAGGGCTGTACAGAAGGACCTTGATGTGCTTGTTGTCAACACCAGAACAATTTCCTATGGGAAACTGTGAAAGAACTTGGAGAGGGGACTGGGGCACACAGCAAGCCAACTGTAGGGTCTCAAGCCAGTGTAATTTGAGTCTAAATGATCCATCTTAGGCCAAGTCTCGAGAAGCTAAGGTTTCTGGATGAAGCAACGACAAAAGGCCAGGAGTTCTCTCCATTTTCCACCTTCTCTTCACCTTCCACACCTCTCAACCCAATAAGCAGCACAAGCTGAAAATTGCTGGTCCCTTGGGATGCCTGTGTCTTTACCTGTAGAGGACGATCTGATCTGTCGATCTGGGGTTCCACCCCAAGCGGAGAAGATCAGCTTTGCAGGAAGCCTGTTATCGAGTGAATATCCTTTGGTTCCAAAGCAGATCTTTGCACCCTGCCTCTCTAGCCAACCAGAAGAAGAAGGAAGGAAGCCATACTTATACGGGTCCTCTGTGGCGTTATGTTGCACTAATCCACATTCAGTTCCTTTAAGGGACCTGTGAGGTCACCATTGCTGTAGGACAGATGCCCAGCCTCAGTTGAGGTTGGAGCCCTGCCCTTTTCTCCTTCATTGGGGCTGAACCCACCCATTCCTGTAGCAGCCAGGACCAAGGGGACTGTGCAGTGGCCCAGGTGGCACAGTCCACCCCGGGATGTCCTGTTATTTAGTCTCTGCCTTTACAGGGACTGACACTGACGCACCTGAAGCATCCAGACACAGAATTTCCCTTCATGAGCTTGAGCCAACTCTAGATATCAGAGCTGTGTCTGCAGGTCCCTGGGGGCCTGTGTTCCAGGTGGAAGAAGCTGCATCATTCCAGCCACCACCCGTGGACCCAGCTCCGTCCCAGCATTGCCTCTGCCTCTCTGGGTACCCAACAGCACGTGGCACATGGCAGAGTTCTCAGTAAAAACCTTCCCTGAGACAGATGGAAAGTGATGGACGGGAGAGTGGGCAGAGCAGTGAGGGGATTCTGACACTATTTCCACTGTCCTCCCTCCTCATCCCCCATCACTCCAAGCTGCCATGGACCCTCCCCAGCAAGGCCACTGTTAATGTGGACACCAAGTCCCTAAGACTTAACTATGAAACCAGTTGCCTTTGTCTTCCCAAGAAAATCTGTCAGCAAGTAAGTGCCTGAGAGAGATTCTGTAGGCTTTACCATAAATCTACTCTAGTTTTATATTTTAAAAGAAAAATATTTGATCACTTTGGTCCTTCAGTTATTAATACACAAGGATACACTTCACTGGTTCTGTTGTGACACCACCTTTGAAACTCTCATCATAGTCACAATAAATGATTCACAGCACCCTTCAGCACCTCAAGTGTGTGGCCTTGCAGTTTTCTCCGTCTGGGATTCCGTCACTCTACCTTCCACGTAACCTTGAAGTGCGTCACTGAAATGCCACCTTGTGTGTGAAGCCCCGCCGACCACCACCAAGACTCCATTCACTGCACTCCTAGTTTCAATGCCTCTCCCTCAAAGACTCAGTGTCTCAGTGTATTCCTATACTTGGTCCCAGTCTACCTCCTACATCAAGTTCATCACAGAGCCCAGAAAAGGACTTGGCTGTGGGGCAAGAGCTGAATAAATCCAGGATGAAAGAAATAAAAGATTGAAAGGGAAGGGAAGAAGCAAGAAGCTACCTGCTCTAGGTATCATCCTCTTTACCTTTTGGAGAGAAGTTTTTTCCATTTGCCAAAAATGTCCGCCTGCAAGCCATTTTCCAGATGCTTCAGTTTGCCCTCATCAGGAAGAACGAAGGTGGCTGTGATGTTCCCACGATAGGGCATCTCCAGGATGGTGCAGGAGAGCTTGTCGTCATATGCTACATCATACAGGCCCCCACGGAACATCATGGGTACCTTCACGGACTTGCTTCCGTCCACAAGGAAATCTTCCTCTTTTGTTTCTTTTGGATCAAACTCGTATTGCCACCTGGCTTAGGAATGAAGACAAATAAAATGACATGAATGTCCAGAGGGAAAGGAGGTGAGAAGATCCAAGTAATCACACAGATTCAGGGTAAGGGGTTGGCATGTTCTGGGATATCAGGGAAGGACTCCAGAAGTTCCTGCCCTCGTTCCATGCCCTGAAGACTTCTGGTGAGATGAGTTTGGGACCAATGCTCAGTTTGCAGAGAAACCAGAACTAGGGCAGCAAGGCGGGCAGCAGACTGCCCTGAGCCCAGGCACCCCCAAGGCTGAGAAAGCCCATAGATTCTGTCCTAAGAGAGGGGGCTGATTGCAATTAGTGGGGGCTTTCTGACATGAGTGGAACTGCTTGGTTGTGTTCTGAGTCAGCCTGGAAGTAGCTGAGGAAACCAGGGGAACAGCCAGACCTTGGAAGCACGCTGGAAAAGCAGCGAACACTCAGAGGTAGGTGTTTGGACTTGTCCTTTTGATCCTGAGGACTCTTTGACCTTATTGCACATCACATCTCTGTCTTTTCAAACCTGTTACCCTCAGAGCCCTGTGAACCAACCCTCCAAGTTCAAATTCTGGTCTCACTGTTCTAAAAGGATGACTTTGGACAAGTGTGTCAATCTCCCCGAGCCTCCATGGCCTTAATTTGTAGAATGAGGCTACAGATAGGTATCAATTAGGGCTGCTTTGAGACTTAGTGAGAGAAGGTGGAAGAAGGACCAGGGTCGCAGAGCTGTGAGGGGAACAGCAGACTGCCCTGAGCCCAGGTGCTCTTGAGAAATGCCATCTACTCAGTGACCATCTAGTTAGCGTCCAGAAGATGCTGGTCTTCACCAACATCACTGCAGTTACTGCTGCTCTAATGTGATGGAGGGGACATAGGCACTTTGGGAAATCTCAGATTTTTCCTTATTCTTCTAAGGTTTAGGAAGAGTGTGCGTTCAAACTGACGCTGTCATTTTCTTTTTCCCTTCACAGCCATCATCTCCCTGTGGGAACTGGGAGACCTGAACTTACATATTCAGGGCTCGTTTACTGACTGCCCAGTAGTGACCTTGCCTGGCTTCTGATTTTCACCTTTGTGTGCGTGTGTGTCTGACTGGTTGTGTGTGATGGGTGTGGCGAGCTGGGAGGGTGTTGAAGCTTAATTCTTCCATCTTCTTTTCAGCCTCTGCCTTAGACTTGGGAAATCTACAAAATCTGATAGGGAGATCAAGATGCACCAAAGTGATCACCACCACCATCATCACTCTGAGGGTCTATGTGGTGTGGTGGACAGTGCACAGTCCTAGGCCCAAAGAGAAATAGGTTCCAGTTCTGACTCTAATCAACTGGCTTTGAAACTTGGAATAAGTAGTTAATCTCTCTCTGATTTTCACTTTTCTCATCTAAGAAAATGGAGATAGAAACGGAGGCAGAAGGAGAGGTCACTAGTGGGAAAGAGAGGGCAAAAGAAGGAAGTTAAGAAGGTGAATATGGCTGATGTATTTCCTCTACAAGAATGATATAGGATATTTAAACCTGTTGAAATCACTATAAGAAGGGGACTAAGGTAGAAAGGAGAAAAATAGAGGGGATGAGTCAATTTGGGCTATAATACATATATACACAGAAATGCCACAATGAAACTCTCTCTACATCTATCTTAAACCAAAAAAAACCCAAAAAACAAAAAACTCTTTTTCCAAAAATGGAGAACAGGAAAGTAAAACAGGTCCTGTCTGAGGATTGGCACCATGGTAGGGGAGGATATAAGGAAAGGTGTGGGAGGGTGAATGTGGTGGAATTATGTGTACTCATGTATGAAAATGGGAAAGTGAGACCTGTTGAAACTGTTCCAGAATGGCAGAGAGGGGATAAAGGAGAATGACGGAGGAGATGACTTCAATTATGACATATTGTAAAAACTTTCCTAAATGTCACAATGTACCCCCAGTATGACAATAATAAAAACACACATATAAATTTAAAAATAAATAAAAATTTAAAGAACGAAATGGAGATAGAGTATCCCTCCAGTCTCTACAACCAACGTGTTAGGACAGTCAGTGATAGTGGCAGCCCGTATATGGAGATCAACTCAGACTTCACAAAGCTCATTTCACCAGCATTGTCACTATGAATCTCAAAATCTGCTTGATGGATTACGTATCTTGGTATTCATTTTATAGAGGGAAAGAGGGGTCCTTAGCAAATGCTTACATAGGAATTCAAGCTCACAGAGTAAGCAAATGGCCATCCCAGGCTTCCAATCCATCTCCTAGTCACCCTATATTCTCCAAGCAACACACCCCAAGCCTTACCTCGAAAGAAAATGTAGTTTGTAAGAAGCATCACAGTGCCAGGATCTATATTCCTGATCAGGTTTCTGATTCTCCCGTGGGTTTTCTGGCTGACATAGTCATTGATCTCTCTCTGACTGGCGTCCAAGTTCTGGAAGTTGGTGGGCACTGTTTCTGCATCGTACATACTCTTGGCCGCTCTTAGGAACTTCTGCTGAAGCTGCAGCCTCTGGTCGATGAATAGTGTGTTGCCAAGGTCCAGCCTGATGTCTTGGCTCTCCTGCTTCAGCCTGTGGAGGAGATAATGGAAGCCCTGGTGCTGGTCCTTGTCTGACATCTCCTTGAAGTTGAATCCCTGCTTGATCTCAGCCAGCGTGGAGTCTTGGGCACCCAGAGATAGCATGGAGAAGGCTGTGGAGATGCTCATCGGGGAGAAGAAGATGTTCTGCCTGGGGCTTCTGGCCGAAAGCTTCTTGAGCAGCTTGAAGCCAAACTGCATGTTGTGCCGGGCCAGCTTCCGGGCGTTCCTCCTCTCCTTTAACTCTCTATCCTGGCCCGTCGTTGCATGGCTGTTGGGAGATTGGCTAGGCTGCAGAAGACCTTGTGCAGTGAGGATGCCAGCTAGAAGCAGACCCAGGCCCAGCACGAGGTTCATTGTCCTTGGAGATCGTCCTGTTGAGAAGTAGAGCTGAAGTTAGCAGAAAGAAAAAGAACAAAAGAACTCCGTTGGCCCCCTATGTTAGCCATAGGAAGATCAGATGAAAGAAGAAACACAGCCAGTGACACGTATTACGGAGGTGGTTGCTGAGTGCTTTGATGTCTATGGTAGCCTACTCCCTGTAGACCTGGGCAGGTACTTGAAGCCAGACCATCATGATGAATACAAGGACGCTTTTTAATGGCAGGACTATACCAAGCAGTCAGGAGCTCCATACTTTGATCTCATGCCTTCATAGCTGCATAATATTGCTGGAAAACCCAGGCCTTCTCTAAATACCTTTCACTCCCAGGACTGCTTGTTGGGAAAAACTTAAATAGTTAGTGGTGAACATGGGCTCTACAGTGTGCATGAAAACAGGTTATAGGGGAGAAAATATAGACTCCTTCAGGATGCTTTGGATAAACAAAAGAAAGTAGGACACTGAAAGGACATGCTCTCAAAGCTTGTGGGCTGGACTGTTTACAAAGACTGCAGCCTAAATAGAAGCTTCTGGGATCAGTGTGATCACCACACATGGGGGCATTGTTTCCCAATGCTGAGGGGTGGAGGAGTTAGGACATGTCACTCAAGCAGCTGAGAACCTTCTCAGCAGATGATTGCCAGCCAACCCAGATGCACATCGGCAAGTGAGCTGGCAGTAGCTGTGTGCGTGAGTCAGGGAAGTCAGGGCAGAGCCCTGAGGCAGAGGGCAAGGCGACTGCTGGACGCTCCACTCCAGGAACGCTTCCTGGGCCACACAGTGCTGTCACACACAGCTCTGCAGGGACACTCAACTGCCAACCCTAAGGCTTCACCAATGGCAACGGTCACAACTGACTAGGGAGTCATAGTCTGAATGTGGGTTCTTCACTCGTGTGTTAGGCGGCCTGAGGCCAGTGCCTTCCCCACTAGGTGCTGCCATTCAACGGCTGTCCCACCCCTTGGGAACAGCACACACTGGCCGGGTCTCAGCCTCCTTCCACATCTACAAGTCTGTGTCACTGTGGTCTCTTCAGGCCTCCTGCCCAGCCCTTCCGCTGCCCCCCACCGCCTGCCCTGTGCGTGATCAACCTCCCTACTAGCCTCATCTGGGCCTTTCCAGGCCCTAAACTGATCCAAATTTGTCAGATGGGTGAGATTCCTGAGCAGACTACATTTTTAGTCCATCAATTAAATGCCTGGGCAACTGGTTGTTTCCCAATCAATTGATGGGTTGCTCTGCTGAGTTAGGCAACTCTTTGTTGGGTTTTGGTTTGCAGCATGTGTGTGTATATGCTTGGTTGTTTCTCAAGATAAATTAAATTAATAAATTTCATTTAAAAAACCCCAAGAAATAAAAAAGAACAAGATAGAAATTGAATATTGGGCAGATAAAGCTAAGTTTCAATTCTCTGACCATTTCTGTCCTACACTCCTTACTAATTTGGGAAAAGAATTTTCTTTTCCTGGGAACAGGTAAAATAGCAACCCATTAACCCAAGAGTCATCCATCCTGAAGACAGATCCCAACCAGGTGAGAAGCCATCTGGACAGGCCTAAGGTAGCCTCAAGTCCACACGTGGAGGGGAAATCCACAGGAGGCCTCTCAGGCCAGACAATGGGCATTGCTTCCCCCTCCCACACTGACTAAAGAAACAATGACCTGTGATAGAAATTTTCATGATTTGTCTCTTGGGCTGGGCGTAGTGTCACATGTCTATAATCCAAGCTTTCAGGAGGCAGAAGCAGGAGGATTGCAAGTTCAAGGCTAGCCTGGATTACATAAGTGAGACCCTGTCTTGAAAAGCAAAATAATAATAATAAAATATTAATAATCATCCCTTGTTATCCCCAGGTTCAAGGACCCCCCCCCCACACAGACACTAAAACTCACAGATCCTCATACATAAAATATCATAGCATTTACACACAATCTACACAGGTCCTCCTGAATACTTAAATCAGGTCTGCATTGCCTGTGACCCCCAGTACAAGGTAAATGCCATGGAACTGGCTGTCATGTTGTTTTGTTTAGGGAAGATGACAAAAAAAAGCTGTACATTTTCAGTACAGATACAATTTTTCCCCAAATATTTTTCATCTGAGGCTGGTTTAATCTGTGAATGTGGAGCCATGGGTACAGAATAACAATATTTTAAATTTTCCTACAAGTCACAGCAGGTTGAGGATGCAAGACACAAGCAAACACAGCACACAGGCTGCTGATCTACCCAGGGCACAGCGGTTTGGAGCCATTCACTTCAGAGAGGGGTCTCCCCCTCCAACCCCTCCTAATGTTTCCTGTGTCCCCTCCCTCCTTCCCAATGACACTGACTGACCTGGAACAGTTGCTGCACTAGCCTTCCTCAAGCCAGCGAGACCAAAAATGTTTGGGACGCTTTTGGCCACGCTCCCACCCCAATGTCTTGAACCCACAGAGTAAGCAGAAGGCACAGAGTTCCCTCTTCTGCATGGCCACTCTGTGCTGGCTGGTTACAACAGGCATCCTTCCCCACCTGGGGAACCCTGAGTCCTCCGAGACCCCAGCTTTCCCCACATCCTTCTGGGGGTTCCTCACAGAGTACTTGGATACACTCAGGGCTCTCCCTTGAGCTGTGAAGAATCCGTCCCAAAGTGCACTTTGATGTCCCAAAATGAGACCAAATTGTGAAGACACATCCTAGGCAAGCTCTGAGGGCACCTGTCTTAAGGGATTGTTACTGATTTAAGAGGAAATCGCTCTAGGTATATTTGAAGTTAAAATGTTACTTTTCAAAGCAAGTTTGGAACTGAACTGTGGACAACATATCCTCCTTTCCCTGCTGGAAGCCAGAGAAGTTCCATAAAAAACTCTAGTATTTTATTCTCCTTCCCGGAAAACCAGGGAAGAAACACATCTACTAATTAATTTGCCCTACAGATTTCTGCTTTCTTCAGTTTAAGAAATATATTCTGAGCACAGAACCTGGTGGTACACACCTGTAATCCTAGCTCTCAGGAGTTGGAGGCAGTTGGATTGTGAGGTGGAGGCCAGCCTGGGCTATACAGAGAGATATCATCTCAAAAAAGAAAAAGAAAAGAAAGAAAAGGAAAGGAAAAACAAATATCGTTGAACCTTCACTATGAGTGAGACACTGGGGCACTAGAGCAAGGCCCTGAAAGGGTCCATGTTGCTGCTGCTGACTGAGCAAACACATAGCTCTCCCTCCTAGGAAGCGATGCTCACCCCAGCAGTTTCCTCCGAACCGTCAAGAACCTTCAGCTCTTTGTCTGGCCTGCTCCTCTGCCCCTTCAGTGGCTCCATTCTACAACGGGGAAACCTAGGGGTTGGAGAGGCCCAGGGACCATCAACTTTGGAACCACTTGTGCTATAAAGGAGAAACCAAGACTAGTGTAAACAACGGAGGGAACCAGGGTCACCATGTGCATTAGTGACAGATCAGAATGGGAGTCTGGTCGGAGAAGGCAGCTCTGCAAAAGCACACTAAACAGGTGTGTGGCCTCGCTTTCTCTATGAACTGTGGGTTGATGGATATGGTCTCTGTCCCAGGAGAGCTGAAGGTACACATAGCTCCCACACAAGGGCAGGGTAGGCTCCAGGTGGAAGGTCTCCCAAGACTATCCCATTCCTACCCCATCAAGCTTTTCTTTCTAGAAAAGTCCTGAAAGTAGATGTCCATGGAGATGAATTAGGCCTCCACCAAAACTTTCCAGTGGAGTCCTCCAGGGGAGGTCCCCACGTGTCGGAAATGCTCTAGAGTTTTCTCCCAATACACCCACCTTGGACAGTACCATATTCTCCCTCAATCAGAAGCTAGCTCTGTGAGGAACAGACAAGAAGCCCTGGATCTTTCAGAAGAGAGATTGCATACTCACAGTGCATCCAGGAAGAATCCACGGGCCAGCCAAATGGACCTGCCCTTTCTGCTTTATTATTTATATCTCCATAGCCTATTGAAGAGGCAGAATGCGGCCAATAGAATCAGCTGGTCCGAGTGAGCAGGGGATGGGGGTTCCAGAGCAGTGGCCACACCACTTCCCTGGGGGTTTCTCCTCACGCTGGAGGCCAGCGGCGGTGTGATATGTGTGGGCCACGCCCTCTGGGCTGGGACTACCCTAATGAAGTCCACCTATATCTTTTGCAACTGCTCTGTTTCCCAATTGCTGTCTGATCTGATCTGGAGGATGGAATACTCTACAAGTGGATCAGTCCTGACGAGGAAGAGTCCATGCCAAATCACTTTGCCATCAGGGGAAAAGGTTGAGAACTGGATGTCTAGGGGGCCATTAATTCCCCACCCTCCTTTTTTCTTCTGTTATTTTTCACATGCTACAAATTGTTATAACCGGTACCTCGGCTCACATGGAGTCCTATGGGGGAAGAGGACCGAGGAGAGACAAATGGACAACTGAATGTACAATTTCTGTTGAGGTAATGGGAATCAGACATTCACATCAAAGCTTGGGTCACTGACTTAATGTCACTATTGCAAAGACACAATGAGCAAGTTTCCTTGTTCCCCTCCCCCTTGCTTTTGTGCATATTCCAAATTGTTTTTTTTTTTCCAAATTGTTTTTAAGGAGCAAACGTTACTTTAGAGTTAAATTTTAAATATTTGAAATAAAACAAAACTCTTACTTTCAGTTTCATCACTTAATGACACATGGGTGATGGGGGCACCTTCCACAACCTGTGGTCCTGGGATGGAAAACCAATGAGCCCAGTGAGCGGATTTCCAATTCAGATGGGAAAAAAACTGAATGAGAAAACGCATTCATGTTCCTTTCCCACGTAGCACTGCTTCAGACTAGTCGTTAGAAGATTATAGCCCAAGGGAGGCCCCAGAAAAGGTATTCACATTATTTTTCTTTCTCTGGGAGACTCCTTTCAGCAAAAATTCAACTCTTGTTCTCAAAGCACACAGAGCAGGTGATCCAGCAAAGCCTTTTTGGAGAGAGGCGACTCTTGCCAGGAA